GACCGGCGAAAGGGGGGGGAGAGACTGCCGAGGCTGCTCGAAGGGGGGGAAGAGAGAGAGAGACTGGTGAGGCCCGGAGCCGGGAGGGAGGGGAGAGAGAGAGACTGGCGAGGCCCGGAGCCGGGGGGGAGAGAGAGAGAGACTGGGGAGCCGGGGGGAGACAGAGCGGGGGGGAAGAGAGAGAGACTGGGGGCGGCGAGCCAGGGGGGGTAGAGGAGGGGGGGTGGAGGAGACGGGGAACCGACAGGATGGGGGGGAAGCTTACCTGCTTCTTCCTCCTCCACCTGCTCTGTGTGGAGCTCCCCCGCTCCTCTCCCCCCACGATTTTCACGGGTCCCCTTTTTTTTGATTTTCTAAATCAATTTTCTCTGTCACGTTTAGACATTCTGCAAATCATGATTTCAGTTATAACTTCACATGAGTTAGTATGTGCTTTTGCAAAATAGTCACGGAATCTTACTTTTTGCTTCTTTCCAGGAGTGACTGGGTAACCTCTTACAAAGTAATGGTGAGCAATGATAGTCACACCTGGATCACTGTCAAAAATGGATCTGGAGACATGGTTAGTATCACAAAACATAATGTTTTCCCAGTCACACCATTTAGCGGTTGCTCCATATTAATAAACTATCCCAAGAGTCTATTACTTCCATAGAGTTACTACTTCAAATTAAACCAAAACGTCTCTCTCAGGCATTCATGATTACCAGATGGTTAAGTGTAATTGTGTCAGGGAGCATGTAATTAACAAAGCCTAAATGAAATTAAGATGTTGTCTGATAGCCCGTTATTGGATCCTGACATTCAGAGTTGCATACATCATGAAGCACTGATCATATGGAGCAGTTAAGCAACCTGTACAGTTATTTAATATTCCCACCCATTAATAACATCCAAGTAGAATGGTTTTAAAAATAATTACAACAGCTTTGTTTACTGGTCCTAAAAATGCATTGAGGACTATAACTTGGTCAATAGACAATAATTTTTCAGTTGATACATTTTTCTGAGGGATTTTCTGAGTCCCCAAAAGCCTATATATGTTACAGTACATGCCTGTTCAGTACAGCATCGGCTTGATGACCAGCAATTGGTGAAAGTGAGAAAACCCTCTGTATTTATTTATTTGTTTATTTATTTATTTATTTCGGTTTATATCCTGCCTAGCCTGGCAGGAGGCTCAAGGCGGCGTACAATGGGTTAAAAACTACAATAAAACACAGATAAAATTCCACAGACAATTCCAAACAATAATATACAAAGTGCAGATTAAGTGCAGTTGGCAATCATTGTGGGATGGTCCAGTATAACTAGACCAGTATCTCCAGTTGTTCGTAATGCTGGTAACATGTGGACCATGATAGATCAATTTTTGTAGCTCGTTCATCAGTGCTGGCTCCTAATCGAAGGCCTGGTGGAAGAGCTCCGTTTTACAGGCCCTGAGAAACTGTAGAAGGTTATGCTGGGCCCTGATGTCCTCTGGGAACTCATTCCACCAATGTGAAGCCACCACTGACAAGGCCCTAGCTCTGGCAATGGCCAATCTGGCATCTTTTGGACCGGGTAGAGTCAGGCAGTTTTGGGTCCATGACCTCAGTGCTCCTTGGGGAACATGTGGGGAAAGGTGGTCCCTCAGGTAGGCAGGCCCCCAGCCATGTAGGACTTTAAAGGTCAAAATCAGCACCTTGAAGCGAATCCGGTATGCTATTGGCAGCCAGTGCAATGCCTTCAACACAGGCCGGATGTACTCTCGAGTGGAGAGGCCCATCAACAGCCTGGCTGCTGCATTTTGTACTAGCTGCAGCTTCCGGATTTGGGACAAGGGCAGCCCCATATAGAGAGCTGTAGTCCAGTCTCGAGGTGGCCATAGCATGGCTCACGGTTGCCAGGTCATTGCATTCAAGGAAGGGAACCAACTGTCTAATCATCCATAGGTGGTAAAAGGCTGCCTTGGCAGTTGCTACTACCTGGGCCTCCATTGTTAAGGCGGCATCCAGGAGCACTCCCAAGCTCCTGACCCTCGGTGCTGGCACCAGTGGTGCCCCTGACCCGCTCCAACTCAGGCACAGGACCTCTGTCTTCATTGGATTCAATTTCAATTGGCTCAGTCTAAGCCAGCCCACCGCATCTTGAAGTACCCAATCTAGGTAATCTGGGGTAGGCCGGACTGACCATCCAACAGCAGATATAGCTGGGTGGTCTGCGTATTGGTGACACCGTAGCCTATGCCTCTGATCAATCTGGGCGAGAGGGCGCATATAGATGTTGAATAACATTGGGGATAGCACCACTCCCTGGGGAACCCAGCAGACCAGCGGGTACTTCTTGGAGTCTGATCCCCTAGCGCCATTGCAAGGCAAACCCCTGAATCCCAGTGTCGGCGAGGCTGTGGACCATTAACTGATGGTCCACTGTGTCGAACGCCACCATTTGTGGCATTGAGATCCTCTAGCTGGGCATTCTGGCACTGATATCATATACACAGAGGCAGAGTGAATAGCTGGTCTTCTCTTGTGCAGATGGGTGCAGAGAGATATTGCAGCGTTCAACCTGGTGAAGTTCAGTATACATGAGTTGCCGATTTGACCCTATCAATCTGGTTTTCATCCTACAAACACTGCCATTCTCCACATGCCTGCCTTATGAGGTAGATGAACACCTGAAAAAAGCTTCCTTAGCTGTGGCCTTATAAGGAATTCATTTCCTCAAAAGGCCCAGTCAGCCTCCTCATTGTTGGCCATCCAGAGGATGGTTAATTCCAGAGAGCCTTTGAGGGTTAATTCACACAAAAGAAATTCCTCATGGTTTTCCCCATGACTTCAGACCACATATGGGCTGGGAGTTCCATGGTTCCCAGGTGTTCAAGAGCCCAGTTCAAATGATGACCACTGTGTGTGGAGATGAGGAATCAGCTTTCTTTTATTTGCTCGGCTGGAAAACTTAGCCATTATTACACATATGTTTCCCAATGGAGCAAATACTGGTTTTACTGAAGTTGATATTTATGATGTTTTAATATTAAATTGTTTTTAAAATCTGTTTCTGTTTTACTGCTGTTATTGTTGATTGCATATTGTTGATTGCATATTGTTGATTGCAATTTAGGCTTTTGTGAAAAGTTATATGATCTTTAAAAATTCTGTATTTTTATCCCCCCCCCTTTTAAAATCTACTCTGATGACCTTTATAAAAGGGCAAGGTATAAATATAGTATGAAAATCGGCACTGTAATCCTATTTATGAATTGGGCCCCAAATTAGCATTCAGCAGTTGTGCTGTTTAATACAGCCTATCTTGGTGCTTAAGAACTGTTATCCTGAACTGTAATGTATTGCTAGTTTCCTTGTCCAAGGTGTTCAGATTGTGAACCAGTCTCAATGGTTGCTGTATGCCAGTTGTCACTAATTATTAACCACTATACTATTGTGTGCATTGAAACAGATTTTTGAAGGCAATGATGAAAAAGAGATCCCAGTCCTCAACGAACTGCCTGTACCTCTTGTTGCACGTTACATTCGGATAAACCCCCGAACATGGTATGAAGAAGGAAGCATATGCATGAGGCTTGAGATCTTAGGTTGTCCTTTGCCAGGTAAAAGACCATCTTCAAGATAAAGTTTGGCATTACACACAGTGTGGTTCCCTCTAGTTGTTCCCGTGGGTGCAGTCACCAAGACAATATTTTGTCTGAATGAGTCTTCCAAACAAAAACCAACAGTTATGATGTCCATGATGTAAGCATTGTGATTTCCCCCCTTGATTCAGGTGACGTGTTGGAGATGTTTTCAGAACCTTTATTGCGCCTTCTGTGTCAAGAGAAAGCTAAGAAAACATCTTTATTAAATAGCCTCCAAATGTCATCTGCACAGTAATATTCCTTTTTATTTCTCAATGAAAGCTTTTGCTAAGCAGTTTACTGTTAAAAGGAGGGCCGTGGTAGCTTAGCGGTTAAGATGGTGAGTTGCATACTGTAGTTCTGTAGTTTGCCAGTTTGAGACCCTAGTGCTGTGTGATGGAGTGAGCTCCCATCTCTGACCCCAGCTCCTGCTAACCTAGCAATTCAAAAGCAAGAAATCGCAAGTAGATAAACAGGTACCGCTTCAGTGGGAAAGTAACAGTGTTCTGTGCACCTCGGTGTTTAGTCATGCTGGCCACAAGACCATGGAAATGTCTTTGGACAGCGCTGGCTCTTCGGCTTGGAAACGAAGGTGAGCACTGCCCCCTAGATTCAGATTCGACTAGCTTTCGAGCAAGGGAAACCTTTACCTTTTACTGTAACCCCCCACACACACAAAAAACCCTTCAGTCCCTCAGTTGGTTGGACTATAAATAAATAAATAAATAAAATAGCGGGACAGCAAAATGGTCTTGATAAAGTACAGTCACAATATGATAAGCACTAGTGCAAGAAGAGGATAGAAAAGGCATATGGGCTCTTCAGTCTTCTTTCTGGTTTTAAGAATAATGCTGTGCAGATGGATGCAGAATGACACATAGGGATTTGCAGTTGCCCGAAAGGGATAGATGTACTTTTCTTTCCAGTTCTTTCACAAATCAAATGTAAAGCAGAAAATACCCCAATTTTTTTTTAAAAAAACAACAACCTGGATACAGACAGGGAAGGAGATGCCTTTGAGCACCCAGTGCATTTATTTATTTATGACTATGTCAGAGTGCTTGCTGCAAGGCAGAATGATATTTTTAACAAAATGATCATCTTCATCTGCATGCAGACACCTGGTGATCCAGTAGATAGCATTTGCCATGAAACATGAATTCAAAATCCAGTTTAGCTGCAGGCTGGCCTATTGGAATGGCAGTGTCTGCCACTGTTCTAAATGGGGAAAAAAGTGGCCAGGCCACTGTTCGCCTATTATGTCTGCTATTTATTCTCAGTCAAAACACATTACATGTGATTGCTATGAGGATTTGCAGTAGGACAGCAGCTGTGAGTTTCCTGTGGGAATTCAATTCAGAGTGCCGCAGGGCCCAATGTGGATTGGGACTGCCATGTGTTGTAGGAGGAGCAACATGAGATGAGATGGCTCTGGGGGAATTATTTGCCCTCTCTGTGGGATGCACATTCATGGGGCAAATAACTGGGGCCTCTCCTCCCCCTGCCCCATGGTCATAACCAGAAATGCAGCATTTCTGAATTGTTCCCAGAGGAAACCCATGGCTGGCCTCCTGCCACAAATCCCCATTGCAATGGCCCTTTTCTGCACTGACAGCTTGCTCTTGAGAATCCAAGGAGTCAAGCCTTAATTTTATTTATTTATTTATTCAAACTTATGCCCCGCCCGCCCACCCAGCCAGGGCCGGCTCAGGGCGGCCTACATAAAATCAGTAGAGAACATTTAAAACAATACAATAAATCAATTAAAACAGTATTAAAACCAGATTACAATTCCATGATACCATATTAAGGGTTGACTTCACATAGGGGTCCGAAGTCTTACCTTGGGAGTCCTGGATGTCACTGGGAGTCTCCCTGCATGCGCGCTTTAAGCGCGTGCTGCGGTGACACCACCCGGAAGTGAAATCATTGTGTCAGGCACATTGGGGGTGGGGTCATGATCATTCAAGGGAAAACTATAGAGTTTTCCCTTGAATGATCATGGCCCCGCCCTCAATGTGCCCGACACAATGATGTCACCTCTGGGTGGCGTCACCGCACCAGGCACATCTGGCACTTCGGGGGCGGGATTCCCCCCGGTTGGCCCAATCCGGGCCAGCAGGAAACAGGCCTCTGGAGCGGGGATTTCAACATCCTCCTGGGGAGACTTAGCAACCCTAACTTCACAGTTTCACGCATTCCCTCTACACTGGTTTTCCCCCCCTCCAGTTTATTTATTTGTGTATTCTGTATGCATTCTGCATCTACAAGCAAAACCCACATTTTTTGAGCTGACTGGCTGTGAACCCCTCCCTCCCTCCGTGATTTTGCAAAAAGAAAGGAAAGGGAGGGGAAAATCCAGACCGACATGTGCAAGACTGACACATTTGGGAGCAGGGAATCTCCTAGTCCTTTATATTTACTGATCCCATCTTATGCTCTCTCTCTGGCTTTTAAAAAATTTGCCTGAGTGGGAGGACACAGCCTTTTTTGTCTTTGGAGAAGGAGGGAAAGAAAACAGAACAGGGAGGGAGCGTCAACCTAAAGAGAGAGAGGCAGAAATGGGGGGGGGGGGGGCAGTGGGCAGTACTTAAATACCCACAGAAACAATTCTACCTTGAAAGGACTAGCGATTTGAAAGCAGATGAGAACAAAAAATCACCGCAAAAGGAATTTTGGTAGCTGTAGGGCAACAGTGTGTTGGAAGCAGTCTGAATGCAGATTCCTGTCAAACAGATGCAGAAACAAGAGAAAGCCCCAAAACATAGTGAAAGTGACAGTGGAAGGGAATGCAGAACAGAATAGGATGCGCTCAGAAACCAAGGCAAAATACAGGTGCAGAAAGGGCCAACAACATAGTAGATGTAATGCATAGTTATTGACTGTTGTACAGCATACGCTTTTGGTGAATCAATCATATTAATTCTGATTATGATTTTCACCTTCTCTTTTTGAGTACTAATTTGTTTGCTGACATACAGATGATTGCATTCTATTGAAAAATGCTCATGCAAGTCCCATTTGGCCACTGGGACTAACTGCAGTGGAGAGCAACATAGCCCCTTGAGGATTATGATTGCTAAACCACTTGTTGTAACATCCCACATATTAAATTATACTCAATAGCAGAAAAGAAGCCCTTTTCAAAGTAAATTGAATACCAAAACCTTTGTAGTGCACTTAGGGTAGCAATGTGATCAACCCTGAGCCACTTTGGGGAGGGTTGAATAAAAATAAATAAATCCGAAAAATAAATAAATAAATAATGCTTTTAAGTTTTTCTACTCTGAAATCCGCTCCAGATCTCTGATTTCCCTTGCAGGGTGGTTGGCAGTGGCTAGTATTTGGATGGATGACCTCCAAGGAATACAAGGGTTGTAATACATAGGCAGGCAATAGCAAACCACTTCTGAATGTCCTTGATTTTAAAAGCCAACAGGGTTGCCATAAGTCAACTATGACTGGATGACAAAAACAAACAAAACAAAATCATTGTAGCATGGATTTACAAAAATTACTGCACAGCACAGATGTACTTTGTTCTTGCCAAAGCTTTCTATTCCTTTGTTGGCATGATTTTATCTCCCATTTTGGGAAATTCGATTCCTGGGCTGCCGGTCCACGGCCGTGCAGCCCAGGGGCCGCCTTTGCCGCCCTGCAGGAGAGAGACAGGGGGCGCGGCAACCGCCGCATCCAGGGCTGAGCAGGGGGCGGGGCCGGAGCTGTGAGGCCGGCCCCTGCTTCCCTCCTTCAGTGCGCGCCCGAACGCTCGACCCACCTGTTGGCAGTATGGGCTTTGGCTGGTCGCTCTTTATGGGGGCCAGGTAGGAATTTTTCGCCGTTTCCCAGATTGGCCAGGGGAGGGGGTGTTTTTGCCTACCTTATACTGCAGCTGAGGTTGGGGAAAAATTGGTTTGGGTGTGGTTGGGTTTAAATAGGTCGGTCGCTTTAGTTGGCAGGATGTTTATCAGATTGTGGCATGGTGACCACCGGCATATAAGCCCGATTGGGGCATAGGGGTCTTGCCAGTACAGTCTTTGGGCCCTGTGGCCCGGGGCGGGGAAAGCAGACTGCTTAGATGATTGCCCGGGATTGTCATCCCTTTGAGCCTTGAGGCTCGGGGGTTTTGGCTTATCCCTGGCCATCATCCACTTGCCGTGCTGACTGGTTGTGAGCCATACCTTTGGCTACCAGCTGGGGCTGGGTGGATCGCCCTAGTACAAATGGCTGGGGAGGGGTCTAGGACCCCTGGCGTGGCCATGCCACAATCTGTATTGCCCTTGCTGTTCATCGTTGTTATTGTTGTTAGTGAAGTTAATAAAGTGGCCCGTTCAGTACCCAAGAAATGTGTCTGTCTTTCTTCCGGATTGGGGGGCAAAAGCTATGCGTATGAACAATGTAAACACAGAAACAGAACACAATTGTTTCACCATACGCTGTGTGCACAATCACATTGACATTACTTTTGGTCTTTGGAAAGAACACATCTAGAATATTATGTCACTGAAAAGATTACAAGAGTACAGTCAAACCCCTTCATCCTTTTTGGGGATATCATACTAGGGTCTAAGATGTTATTTAAATCAGAGGTTATAAGTGAATCACTTTCCTTTTTAATTCATACTCAGTCAACTGTTGACCTTTTTAATGTAATCTTAAATCTCATGTAACCGATGATGCTTTACCCAAATTTGCTGTTTTTTCAAGCTTTATCTTTAATGAAAACCTCTGGAAGAAATGAAAGCAGCAAATAAGCACAAGTCTCAGGAAGGATATATGGAAAGTGTAAAATTGTATTGAGACTGTTTTATGATTGAGAATATTGACAATCGTATTAAGAACTGTGAAGAAAGCAAGACTGAAACACTCTGCTGTATTAGAACTCGCTGGGTTAGATCCAAGCCATCTTTCCACTCGAGGAAAGGCGATTCTGCTCACAATTTCTACTGATTCCACTTTTGCCATTGCAGATCCTCCTGCTGTGTCCCATACCACTGCTGAGGATCCTCCAAACCTCAAAAGACCATTTCAGAGGATCAGGGAGCTGCAGCAAAAAGAGGGAGGTGGGAAAGAAGTGTTGTGTGAGTGGGCCTCCCAAGGAGGCTGGCTAGGGACCAAAGCCTTTCCAAGAGAGAGAGAGGAGACAGCTGTTCCGGTCCTGCTTCTCTGGAATCGAAACATGATATCAATAAAATAGTAGGCTTTTCCCCAAAGAAAACAAAAGGAAGGACCAACTATCCTAGCTTCCTTAAATGATTGCTAGCAAGCGGCATCTTTGTGGAGCAGGTGAAATCTTTTATCTGTATGAGACCATATTTTAGACTGAACAGTTTTTTCCTGTTCTGTTACATTATATTATGGTTCCTTTATGTTCCTCTGCAAGTGTAACCATATTAACATTTGTATCACAGATCCAAATAACTATTATCACAGAAGAAATGAAATGATGACAACAGACAACCTTGATTTTAAGCACCACAACTATAAAGAAATGAGGCAGGTAGGGCATAAGGCATGGAATCCTGGTGTGTGGGGAGTGTGTGTGTTTGTGTGCATATGTTTTGATCATGAGTAACAGTGGATCAATAGGGCTGCAGTCACATTCCAACACCAGCCAAATGACTTTGTAATTGCAGCATGCTCAGAAAAGATTGTTGCATTCCCAATGTGACATCATAATCCTTTTTCAAAAGTCACCTGCACTGTGTCTTATGGATCTTATACAAATGAAAACAAGGAAACATTAACTTCAGTGAGGCTGTGTAAAAATGTACATAAAGATTGGCATTCTGTATTCGTCAATAATTGGTCATGGGGTAATTTCATTATTTAAGAAGGAAAATGTGAGACTTCTTGTAAAGTTCCCAAAAGCTGAATTTGGACAGATTGGCTGACTTCTGTGATTGTTGAAGTACCCCACACTGTGAAGTATTGAAAGAGCTGTCAAATTGTTTCCATACAAGTAAGTGGAGCACTTTGGGTCCCGTGATCTGCATGGAACAAAAGGAAGGGCTGTAATCACAAGTACCATTAAGAGAAGCTCAGTGGTTTTTGTGACTTCAGATTTGTGTCTTTGTTCCATGTAGTCAATAGAGAGCATTTGCTTCATTGATTTGTATTAAAAAAGAAAAGGGACTGCATCCCCTTTAGGCAGAAGGCATCTGTGTTTGCTCTTTCTCTCACACTGTAAGGATAAGAGTTCCATGACCCATTTTTAAATGAAATTTAGCATTGGTTTGAATTACATGGGGGAATGTAATCTTTTTTTCTGCAGGGGCAAAACCAAAAGTTCTTAAAGAATCGAAGAAGGGGGATTTGCAGCATCAGTAGAAAGAAATTAGGTGTCTTAAGGAAATACAAACTAGGCCAATATGAATACGAAATACAAAATATGAACCAATGGAATATTCTTAGTTTAGAATCAGACACATTGTGTGCATACAAGGAATGGTAAACTTTTCAACATCATGTACCTTTAAGATCCACCTTGTCTGGTAAAGATTGGTAATGCAAAGTTTTGAAAATCTGACTTTGTCCAGAATTTCCCATCTCTGCACAAATGTTGAAGGTACATGAATACTTATATTGGGAGTTTAGCCAAACCTAGTACTTTGGGCTCATCATGAAATGTTAATTCTGTGAGCAAGATTATGACAAAAAGATGATGGGTCTATCATTTGATTCAGAAAAATCAAGCCAGTCAAATAATTTAAGGGTTGGAGGTGTCTTACTAAATCTACTCTGATACCCCTTATACTGCAATCACCATCCTTCTCAGTTGTTACATTCCTTGCACTGTGGCTGTGCATACAGAACAAACTCACTACACCTGATCCTACTTTTATTTTTGATCACAATTTCTTCTGAATTTTCTACCTCAGTACACATGTACTAGACCCCAGATTAATCTGGGCATGTCCCCAAAGTGGAATATATGTATGTTGACCCTTTCAGAAGAAATGGCAATTGTGCATATCGTGAGGATTTTGTGTAGCAGGTTTGTTCCATACATGTGGTCAAACATAATGACGGAACAGGAGTCACATACTTCAGTACAGTTTGGATGGTGTTGTGCTATTAATCTCCGGGGCACGGAGGGGACGGTAGACAGTCAGCCACTCTTATTCACCTTCCAAAAATACTTGCCCAAGTTTTTTTTTTTTTTGACTGGCATCCATTTTGTGTCATTTTGGGCCAGGCGGTGTCTTGTACTTATGATTCTTTGAGGTGATATTTTAAGTAGGGTGTTTCTGCCTCTCTGCAAGAGGAGGGGTCTGACTGCTAACAACTTGCACATGCATCTTAAAACAGGCAGGCGTGCTGCTTTATGAAGGAAAAGGAAAATAAAGTGGAGTCAAATGAACTGGAAGTATTAAGCTCTCCTCTGAAATAATATTTGACAAATACCTCTAAAGAGATTTACGGTCTCTCAGCAAAACTTAAAAAAAACTTTTCAAAAACTGGAAGAGAAGAAGACATTTGTTTTAGGAGGCATTTCTTTTTGGAGTGAAGAAATCTGAACTATATGCAGGGGTCGTTTCGTAGAAAAAGAGCTAGGGGAACTCATTAGCATAACTCATTAGCATATGCCACACCCCCTGACATCACCGGAAGTGTGTCATCAGGCCACACACCCTGACATCACCGGAGGTGTGTCATAAGGCCACACACCCCGCCCCCAATGGTCCCGGCTGCCGCCGCCGGCCTTGCAGCTTCATTGCCGAGCCCCATGAGGGGCCGGGCGGTAGACCTGAAAGGCCGGCGGGAGTGCAAGGAAGCCCCGCGAAGGCCCTCCCTGGCCCCAGGCAGGCAGGGGTGGGGAGAGGCAGGGAGGAAGCAACTTACTCTCCCTCTTCTCCTGCCTCCTCCTGGCTGAATGCGGGCTGGAAGCAGGGTGGCCGGAAGCAGGGGGCGGGGTTTCGTCATGTGCCCTGCCCCCGTACCTTACCCGGGGGAACTGTGATCCCCCACGTTCCCCCCCGAATCTACCTCTGACTATATGTGACTCTTATTTTGGACCTGTGAATTTAGATTTTTTTAAAAGTAATTCAGCTGGCAGGCTACTCATCTTCCACCGAGTCACAAGGAATCTCTGGCTAACCATATAAAGGAACTGGAAAGGAACTGCCACCTGGAAAGAAGGGGTCACTTCCTGGACAGTTCCATTTTAAACTGCAGAAGGAGGAGAAGTCACATATTTATGCTTTGGTCATGAGGAAGTGATCGAACAAAGCCTGCAGTCTAAAATAATGCATTTTATGATGTGTGTTATTTCTCCATATTTCAATTAGCTTGAAATGAACAGTAATTCTAAAGTAAGTCCCTGTAGAACTGATTCAGAATGAGAACTTCCTAGTGGTTCCTGGCCCGAGAAAAATCTGGCTGTCCTTGACTGGGGCTTTCTTGGCCCTGGCCCCCACCTGGTGGAATGCTCTGTTGGAAGACATCCATGCCCTACGGGAGTTGTTACCTTTCTGCAGGGCAGGTAAGGCATAGATGTTCTGCTGGGTCTTCAGTTGAGGACAGCGTTGGGGCACCCTTTGGCATTCTCATACATTTCCCCATCCCTTGTAACCCCTCCCCCCAGGGAGGATGGGGAGCTGGAATTTTTTCTGTCATCCTGTATATTGTATATATACTGTTTTATCTAATGATATTTATTGGTTTGTTTTAGCTTAGTTTTAAATTATGATTTTGTATACTATTTCGTTATAAGCCTCCCTGAGCCCTTCTTGTAGGGAGGGTGTCCCACCTTGATGTCCCTCCAACAGCAGCCTGAGTGTGGGGTCGATTCTTGGAGGGGCCTCCTGCTCCCCCTTTGCTTCTCCCTGCTGAGAGGGAGTGGGCCTCTTCTTCTTCCCACTGGCTGCCACTCTTTTCTCCAGCAGCAACATAGTTGATTTTCATAGTAGGGGGACACCCTTTGCAGATGCCTGTGAAGGAGAAATGTTGGAGGTTTTGCCCCTCCAAACATGAGTGTAGCACACCTGACACTCTGCCACACAAGGGTCACTGGGGGATGCAGAAATGCTTCCAAACTGTGGGCTTCCCCCCACCCTTTGAATTATTGTTGTCAGAGTCCTCCTCTCTAAAGAGTGTTAGCAACGGCTGGTGTCTCTGGGCAGTGCCAACAAGAGCCCCAGGAACAGATCAGAGAAAGGAAGCTCTGGGACCCCTTGGTGATGCCCTCCTAGGGCCAGGCTCCAGTGGTCTGTTGGGATGGGTTTGGTGACTTGGGACAGGGTCCTGTGGTACACAGTGGGTGGAGGACTTCTCCCCCCCCCAATGGGCACCCTTTGCACTCACTTTCACCCTCATGGTACACAGAGGTGTTCAGGAATTTGAAATAAGAAGAGGATTGGATTTTAACAATTTAACTGCATAAACCATATTTTATACTACTGGGAGCAATCCTGAGAGCTTTCCTCAAAAGCCAACCCTCAGCTTCCCTTAGTCATGTGGTGTCATGTGGTGTGGCTAGGGTGCCTGCCAAGCTGTTGTGGGGTTAATTTAGGGAACTCCTGTCAGAACTCTGGGGATGTCTGCTTTTCTGTCATTCAGAACCTGCCTTTGGAGACTTGGGGAGTTACAAGCAGAGGGGATTCTTGTCTTGGTTCCAGTGTCTGGCTGGGGGGATGGGCTGCCCAGGTGAAGTTTCCCTGTGAGTTTGGTGTCACTGGCTTATTCCTGAGCCATTCCATAGCTGTGGGTAACTGCAGCTGTCTTTTCCAGAGAGAGCAATGAGAGACCTTTTCTGGAAGTCTGTTACTGCAACCCCAGAAATGTAATCCGCCCCCAATTTGGAGACCTTGTAGAAGAGCAGATTGCAGGGTGAGGTTCCCTGTGCATTTGGTGTTTGTAGCTTGCAGGGGGTCCATTCTATACACTTTTGAACCTGCACCTGACATTTTCCCCCAAAGCTCTTTCCTAGGGGCACCTACTTTGGGGGGTTATAACTCAGACCCCTTAAGTGCAATATGCACATAACTTGGTAGGCTTGTAGAGGAGGTCCCCTGTGAGTTTGACCCCTCTAGCTTGCACAAAGTCTGTTCTATATACTCCTGAACCTTTTGAACCCGCTCCTGTCATTTCCCCAGAAAGCACTTTCCTGGGGGCACTTTCTTTAGCAGGACCATAACTTGGACCCCCTAAGTCCAATCCTCACCAAACATGGAGGGCAGGTAGAGGAGAGTCAGCCAGAGATCCTCTGTGAGTTTAGTGTCTCTAGCACACTGGTGGGCGTGATGGTGTTCTACTGTGTCATGAATCTCATGAAGCATACCTGTTCGTTTATCCCCCAAAAGTTTGTGACAGTTTATGGTTCATGAACTGGAGAAGCCACGAACCACAAACCAAACCACATTTTCCTGGTTCATGCCTATATCTAATGTTGATCATGCTAGATGACCTTCAGGATGTTCCAGCCTTTCATTTCTAGAGCTATAATTTTATATTAATATAGACTTGAACAATATTTCATCCAGAATTGACAGGTAGTGTGACTGGCCGCAGAAAGATAGTGCATATAAATAACCAAGATTCACGTGAACATTTAATGCAAGCCAGTCCATTAACCTTTCCTTAATGAGGTACAAAGTTTCTGCTCTAATACTTGCTGGCAAAATGTTCTCTAAACAAAACAGAAGGCTTTGTACCTAGGGTTGCCAGGTCCTTACCAGGGGGTGGGAGGGAGCTCTCCGGAAGTGGGGGGTGGGTCAACTTTGCCACGTGCAACATCCCTGACATGATGATGTCATGCAGAAGTGATGCCATCATGCCAGGGATGTCATGTGGCAAGGCTCTGGTATTTTGGGCAAAACTCTATGGTTACCATAGAATTTTGCTCAAAATACCAGAGCATCACTGTGTGATGTTCCTGGCGTGGTAACATCACTTCTGTGTGACATCGTGCTGGGGACGTCTGGCAGGCTCATGGCTGTTGGGGGTGGGTCTTTTTCCCTCCAGCCAGCTGGCCAGCAGTGGGCAGGAGCCCGTGAAATTGGGAGATTCCCCGCTCCCACCTGGGGGCTGGCAACCCTATTGGTACCTGATTAAGGAAATGTTAATAGACTGGCTTGCTTCCTATGTAAATATTGAGTTGTAAATAAGAGGGAGATAACTGCCGAGGAAGATCTACTAAGAACAGCTTCTGAGGACGATCAGCTACAAAACAGGCTTACATCTAGATGCTCATTATTTACTAATTACAGAAGCTGTTCTATAATATCACAAGGAAGGGACTTTTCTAAATTTGTGATACAAGATCACATTACTAGTTGTGATTTTTTTCTGTCCTCTTAACTTCAAGCATACAACAAAAATATCTAGATTTATATTGTCATGGATATAGGTGTAAAATGTACTAAAGATTTCTTTCTGACTTTGTTTTCAACTATCTAAAGATAATATATTTGGACTTGAAGTATGTGAATCATGTTCGGTGTGCTGAATCTTCAGCATATTTATACTGAATGACTCATCCATTTTTTATTGAGCATTTGTGTACTGAGTCACACTCTGAGCTCACAAGAGATTTCATGGCCTATATTTCCAGCAGACAGATTAGATGAGTAGAAACTCAATTGGCATAATTAGTGTCAAGAACAATAATGTTAAATGTGGTCTTAGATCCTAATTGTCCAAAGACAGGTTGGTCAGATTTGAAATATATTTCCGTGAAAGTAATAGCTCAAAGCAGGAGAAAATTATTTCCTCTGGTCTTACATAAGGAGTGAAGAGAAATGGGATTAAACGGTGGTACAAGCTGTAATTGGTCAATAGAGAATTATGTCCTTCATTGTAGCCTCTTATGCTGACTACTTGTTGACTGACTTTGTAACTGGGTAATTAAGCAGTACTTCATTGTTCTTTTCCACTAATAGTGATTCTGAATAGGCACATTTAATTTTTTGAACAATTCTCTGTGTATTGTGCTAGGCTGAACCAAATGTCAGCCTGTTTTGATCTTCGGGCAAAATTAGAACTTTCAGGGAGGCCCAAATATTTCCTGAAAAATCCTTAACAATCACTTCTTTTGAGCATGTATACTACCATTCACAGCCATTGCATCTTTTCCCTGCAGATACTTCGGCACCATTTCTTCATCAGACCAGGTGTCCTCTCATCCCTATCTGATAGGCCTGGCCTGGAGCAATACAAAATTAAATTATTTTTTTCACTTTTATACCTGTTCAATCCAAGTAAATTCTCAAAACCGTGATTTTAGGAGGGATTAGAAAGGAATGTTCAGACAAGAGAAGCAGTGTTGCATTTGGCCTTCTGAGGTGTGTTTTTTTAAAAAAATTTCAGCTACATGATGGAAAAAATCTTTCAAACTGTTCAGAATACAAAATTGGCATTGTTAGGGAATTTATGCAGTATTTTTTACAGATTATTAATAGAATAAATAATTGTTGCATGCAACTCATAATAATTGTCTATTAGTTAATGTACTCTGGGGATGATTTATAATCCTTTGGGTTGTTTAGAGCTGTGTCTGCATATTATCAGAAGCTACTCTGTTTCTGCAAACACGAGCAAAATATTTTTAAAATCACCCATTTCACATTGCCAAA